GCTGCTGCACTTCTGGCTCTTCCTGGGCATCTCCCTGGCTGCCCTCCTGGGCAACGGCCTCATCCTCAGCGCCGTAGCCTGCGACCAGCACCTGCACACCCCCAGGGACTTCTTCCTGCTGCACCTCTCCCTCACAGACCTGGGCTGCATCTGCACCACTGTGCCCAAAGCCATGCACAACTTCCTCTGGGACACCACAACCATCTCCTACACAGCATGTGCTGCACAGGCCTATTTCTTTCTGTTCTTCATTTTAACAGAGTTTTCCCTCCTGACCATCATGTGCTACGACCGCTACGTTGCCATCTGCAAACCCCTGCACTACGGGACCCTCCTGGGCAGCAGAGCTTGTGCCCACATGGCAGCAGCTGCCTGGGCCTCTGGGTTTCTCAATGCTCTGCTGCACACAGTCAATATATTTTCCCTGCCCCTGTGCCAGGGCAATGCCCTGGGCCAGTTCTTCTGTGAAATCCCACACATCCTCAAGCTCTCCTGCTCACACTCAGGCTACCTCAGGGAACTTGGGCTCATTGTAGTTACTGCCTCTTTAGTGCTTGGTTGTTTCATTTTCATAGTTTTCTCCTATGTGCAGATCTTCAGGGCTGTGCTGAGGATCCCCTCTGAGCAGGGACAGCACAAAGCCTTTTCCACGTGCCTCCCTCACTTGGCTGTGGTCTCCCTGTTCGTCAGCAATGGCATATTTTCCAACCTCAAGCCCCCCTCCATCTCCTCCCCATCCCTGGATCTGGCCCTGTCAGTTCTGTACTCGGTGATGCCTCCAGCCCTGAACCCCCTCATCTACAGCCTGAGGAACCAGGAGCTCAGGGATGCCATAAGGAAAATGATGACTGGATGCTTTTCAGGAGCAATAAAGTGTCTGTGTTCTGGTGTGTAGCATTTAGAATGTAATGCCCCAAACTTTCTTCTCAGCTTTATGGGGGAAGTCATTGGATTCTTCTTGTAATAATTTCCTATGAAATAAAATAATCTTATGCTTCTTTCTTCTAACTGTCCACACATTAAATTTGACCCAGAGATGTCTAAATGATGACTTGTGCTTTGAGAGTATTTAAACAAAATAAAGGACCCTGCAGTGCCTTCTTTGTCCAAGACCCTTCTTCTCAGCTGTTCCCAAAGGACAGCACACTGCAGGACAGGGGGGATTGGCAGAGGGCAAGGGCACAAGAATCCCAGCACAGCAGCACTGCCAGGGAGCAGCAGAGCTTGGGCTTTGCAGAGCTGCTCTTTCCACTCCCACTCTGTCCTTGTGAGCCCCTTTCTGGCTGCAAGGCCTGAGTGCTCTCTGAGCACAGTCCTGGGGGTGGGAGCCCTTTGAGCACAGGCAGGGACAGGCACTGGCAACTTGTGAAGCAGAGCTGGCCTCCCTGACAGCATCTCCAGGATGCTGGGGGATCTTCTGAGGGCACTGCATGGCCTGGGTCACTTCTTCTGTGCCCTTGCTGCAGGGCTGGAACTCTCCTGCAGTGACACCAGGACACTCCTGCTCTTTGCATTGCCAGCCTGATTTGGAAATCCAGTCTTGCCCTGCTGTTGCCAGGGACATGCTGGGAGTGCTTCAGAGCTGCCATCCTGGGGCA